TATCGATCAGATGATACAATTTCTTTTTTGCGGTAAAAAAATGTTTGATGAATAAAAAATGAAAAATTATGAATAAAATAATTTAAATAAATAATAAAATTGAATGAAAAATGAGATAAACTAAAGCTTGATATCTTTTTATATATGTATTATAAAAAATATATATTACAAAGTTATATTATTCTATATTAAAAAATTTACTACATTTCAATTTTTATATAAATTATAATTTCTTTATGTGTCGTCTTTACATACTTTAAAATTATTGTATCACTTTTATTTCATAATACTATTAAAAAATTTATTTATTTCTATCAAACAATTATTTTTCACAAGATTCATTGGCGAAATATTTCGGCTTTTGTATTTATTGGAAGAAAAACTACTTTCAATAATTGTAGTTATCACAAGCAAAGTTTAAAACCAACTTTAAAAATAAATATAACACATATTTTATATTATTTTCTCAAAATATTTATTTAGTGGCGCTTAACTCTGATATAAAATATTCAAAAAAAATTAGACTAATAATAAGATTTGTAGGGGCAGCTTCCCTTAATGTCACACACTTGGATCTGTCCCTGACTCCATCCAACAAAACTAGATCTTTGACAGTCAAACCTATCATCAATAAAACATAGATTCTACAATCAATACCAAAATCATTGAACACCTCCAGAATAGGTCAGAATTCTAGATCCACTACTGGTTCAGACACAAGATAAGATTTTGAAGTCAAATAGAGAATGAGGAAGAACTCAATGTTGACCTGCTAAGAAACCAGTTCCAAGCAAACAGAATATTCTTATCCTCCACCTATTTCATGGTTATCGATGAACCACCTAAAAGCTTATCGTTCCGCACACACCAAGTATTCCATACCATAGGAAAAACTTCAAAAGTGATTCTAAACTCGCGGTCTCATGTTTATTATTTAATTTTTTGGTGGTACATCATTTGAGCATCCTAATTTCGAAAGAAAATGCTATGTGTATGGTATAGCGTTTCAATTTCAATTTTTTGTCTTTTTTTTTTTTAAATTTATTCATTCTCTTCTACAACTATTTTACACTTATAAATCTATATGGGGTGTTATGGATTCGTGTTTAATATTTCAGTGGGTAATTTTTATTTTGTTGTTTTCTACATTGAAGGTGCATTAATATTATTTTTTCTAATAAAATTTTTGTCTTTATTTATTAGATATGAGATTTACTTTTGTGTTTTTATTGTTCTATTATGGAATCTAAATTGACAATGATCAATAGTAGAGGATTTTGAATTGTTAGTGTTGATCTCTGACACGATGGTGCAGAATGGACATGCAATGTTAGCAATCCAACACCCAAGTCAGTTCAAAGTCTAAAATAAGTATAATGAAAAGTGTAGATCAGAAAAGTATACCTTGAATCTCACGTGTGCTGATTTTATATGTTGGATAATTTTGGTTGGGATTGTATTTGATTGGGCATTTGCTTTGGTTCTTTGACCGACTTAGAACAATTTCCACAAAGGCTTGGTCGGATGAAATCCAGTCGGGGAAGTCTTCAAAGTCGTGGCCAACCTCTAGCAATGGTGTCGGGCCATGGAGAGAAGTGGGAACGTTCGAATCAGTTACAAAATTAGTAGGTCAAGCGCGTTAAACATTTTCCCATCATTGAAACGTTCACCGATTTTTCCCTACACGTGGCATGAGGTGACTAGCTTAGAGTATGGTGTTTCCTCTTAGTGCACTGGAGTTTGTTCATGTTTCCTATGAAAAACCCAGTCATTGATCATGTAACTTTCCGCTCCTGCTGGTCTAGCTCCTGCTGGAGTTCGTTCATGTAACCTTTTATATATATATATATATATATATATATATATATATATATATATATATATATATATATATATATATATATATATATATATATATATATATATATATATATATATATATATATATATAAGGTTTTCAAGTTTTAAGAGAACATTTTTCTACCCTTGATAATTAGTTTCTACTTGTGAGCATCTTTCCTTCTTCTTCTCCAAAGGTATTTCTCCTAGTGATTCATATTCTTTGAACAAAGCTTTCATTCTCTTATTCGTGACACAATGAAGGATATTTGGGACACGATGCGAAGGAAGTATCAAGGTTCCACGAAGGTAAAACGTGCTCATCTATAATCTTTACATCGTGAATTCGAGGTTCTTGCAATGGGAGAGGGTGAATCCGTCAATGACTACTTTGCAAGAACTCTATCTAGTGCAAATTAAATGACTGCACAAGGAGGAAGAATGGAGCAAGTTGCAGTAGTAGAAAAAATATTGAGATCCATGCTCGCAAAATTCAATTATGTAGTGTATTCTATAGAAGAATCAAATGACGTAACAACCATGTCAATTGATGAACTTCAGAGTAGTCTCCTGGTACATGAACAAAGAATGCAAAGGCAAAAGGAGCATAATAAAGAACATGCACTCAAGATGATTAATACTTGTAGAGGCAGAGGAAGAAACGTTTCAAGAGATCGGGGTCGAGGAAGACAAAGCAGAGAATATGTAGAATGCTACGAGTGTCATAAGCTTGGACAATATCGCAATGAATGTCCTGAGTGGGAAGAAAACACAAATTATGTTGAGTTTAGAGAGAAAGAAGTGCTTTTGATGGCATACCCTGAAGGAAAAAGAGAGGTTAAGGAAGAAATGTGGTATGTTGATAGTGGTTGCAGCAAGCACATGGTGGGAAACAAAGAGTGGTTTTTCAATTTTTATCACAAGTTCATGGAATCTGTAAGACTTGGAAATGATTCAAAGATGGATTTGATGGGAAGAGGAAATGTGAAGCTTAGTTTTGAAGGACGGATACATGTAATCACAGATGTGTATTACATACCAGGCCGGGGAAATAACTTGCTTAGTGTTGGGAAATTGCAGCAGAAAAATATAGCAATTATGTTCAAAGATAATAAGTGTCAACTGCTTCATGGAGAGAATGGATTGATAATGAAAACAGAAATGACAAGCAATAGGATGTATATTCTTAGAGCATTTGTGATTTTGACCAAATGCTATCAAGTATCCACTTTGGAAGAAACAAATATATGGCATAACATATATGCTCACCTCAGCAACAGGGGTTTGAAGACCCTGCATAAAAAACAAATGGTTAAAGGGCTGCCAGAGATAAATGACTTTGAAGGAAAGTGTGATGACTGCCTAGTTGGGAAGCAACATAGAAACATCATACCAAAGCAAGCAAATTGGAGAGCTTCCAAGAAGCTTGAACTAATTCGTTCTTACATTTGTGGACCTATCACTCCTAAATCAAATGCTGGAAACAAGTATTTCATTACCTTTACTGATGACTACAGTAGAAAAACATGGATTTATCTCCTCCAAGAAAAATCTAAAGCTTTAGAAATATTTAAGAGAGTTAATTCCTTAGCTGAAAATGAGTCTGGTTGCAAAATTTTGTGTCTTAGAACTGATAGGGGAGGTGAGTTTACATCAAATGAGTTTGATAATTATTGCGGTTCTAATGGGATTAAGAGGCAACTGACTGCAGCATATACCCCTCAGCAGAATTGGGTGTCTGAAAGGAAGAATAAAACATTGCTTAATATGGTAAAAAGGAAGAATTGGGATGCACGTGTAATGAATAGATTCCCTACACGTGTTGTAAAGGACACTACACCTAAAGAAGCCTGGAGTAGGGTAAAACCATTTATGAATCATTTCAGGATCTTTGGATGCCTAGCTAATGTCCATGTTCCGGATGCTCATAGAAGAAAATTGGATAAATGAAGTATCATGTGTGTCCTGCTTGGTATTAGTGAAGAGTCAAAGGCATATAAGCTCTGCAATCCAATTGAGAAAAAGATAATTGTTAGCAGAGATATAGTTTTTGAAGAATCCAAGTGGTGGAATTAGAACAATTCAAGTGAAGTTGAGCAAATTGAGCAGGCAAGTGAGGCTGAAGATAATGATGAGATTGAGCTACAAAATGAGCAATAAGAGAATTCCAGTGATGATGGGGCAAAAAACAATCATGAAAATATTCCTAATGGTGAACATCCAAATGAATAATCAGAAGCTGAATAAAATGACTAAACTGTCCCATTTACAAGGAGAAGAAACCCACCTGGCTATCTAAAAGATTATGTCACAGACCTGGAAAATATGGAGAATCAGACTGATCCAATTCAGAATTTAGAAATTGAAATGTTTAGCTCAAATGAAGATCCAAGTTCCTATGAGGAAGCAGAGAAATCAGCCACTTGGAAGAAGGCTGTGGATAGTGAAATGCAATCTATTGAGGACAATGATACTTGGCAATTGACAACTCTTCCTCAAGGTGTGAAAGCCATAGGTGTCAAATGGATTTTCAAGACCAAATACAATGAAAAGGGGAAGGTAGAGAAGTATAAAGCAAGACTGGTTGCAAAGGGATACACACAAAAGTATGGAATTGATTATAGTGAAGTCTTTGCTCCTGTTGCAAGGTGGGATACTATAAGAACAATTCTTGCTCTGGCCGCTCACAATCAGTGGTGTGTATTCAATTAGATTAAAAAGTTCTTTTTTTACATGGAGATCTAACTAAGGAAGTGTATGTGGAACAACCATTAGGGTGTCACAAGGGTGGAAAAGACCAAGTCTACAAGCTTAAGAAGGCTTTGTATGGGCTGAGGCATGCACCTAGAGCCTGGTACAGTAAAATAGAACTGTTTTTCTGTGCAGAAGAATTTGACGAGTGCTTTCATGAACCTACCTTGTTTGTCGAGCATGGAAGCAAGGGAAAGATACTAATTGTAAGCTTGTGTGTAGATGACCTAATATACACAGGAAATGATAAGGAGATGACTTTAGAATTCAATCAATCCATGAAAGAAAATTTTGCCATGACAGATTTGGGGAAAATGAAGTATTTTCTAGAAGTAGAAGTCAGTCAAAGCAACCAAGGAATATTCATTCATCAGCGGAAATATGCATCATAAATTCTGGCAAGGTTTGTCATGGAAGACTGCAACAAAGTGTATAGTCCAATTGTGCATGGTTACAAACTTGTGAAAGATGAGAAAGGAAGAGCCACATATGCTACTCTCTACAAGAGGATGATTGGCTTCCTGATGTATCTGTTAGCTACAAGGCCAGACATGACCTTATCAGTCTGTTTGGATGTAAGGTACATGGAAAGACCTACTGAGTTACATGTTGTAGTTGTCAAGAGGATTATGAGATACTTGAAGAGAACTCTGAAGTTTGGCATTCTGTACAAAAAGGAAATTACTGGTAGCTTAATAATGCAGGGCTGGACTGATTATGATTATGCAGGTGACCATGATGATAGGAAAAACACCTCTGGATATGTTTTCACAATAGGATTAAGTGCAGTTTGCTGGTCCTTAAAAAAACGGCCAATTGTTACTCTGTCCACTACCGAAGCTGAATTTGTATCAGTTGTATCTAGTGCTTGTCAGTGCATCTGGATGAGAGCTGTGTTGGATCATCTATACTTAAAGCAAAGTGGCTGCACCATCATAAATTGTGACAATAGTTCTTCAATCAAGCTATCAAGGAACTCCATTATGCATGGTAGATGCAAACATATTAGTGTAAGATATCATTTCTTGAGGGGACTCTGTAATGATGAAATTATTGAGCTGAAATTTTGCAGGTCATATGAGCAGTTGACAGACATTATGACTAAGACTTTGAAAGTTGACACTTTCATCAAATAATTTGTTCTTACTAATTAATCCAGTATTAGTTTTGGTTTTGTCTTGGTTTTATAGTTTTATAATTAATTTATTGTTGTATAGAGATCAACTTAAGGGAGAGTCTGTTGGATTTATATTCAGTTTTGAGCCTGTTGGACCTAAGTTGACTAAGGCTCACTCATCTGTAATGTAAACTTGACTTGTAGCCTTTATAAGGCAAGTGAAATAATGAACAAACAAATTGTTAGAACTTTCTCACATAACAAAATTACTCCTAATTCTTTTAAAATAAAAATTAAAAATACACTTAACGAACTTTTAAAATTTACATATTTTAGAAAATATTAAAAAACAATCATAAATACAACATAATTATTATCAAACTATTGGTCAACATTTCGAAATTATTTTCATTGGAATTGGACTAATTACATTCCAGTATGATTTGTATTGAAATGGTGCAAATACAATGACTTGGTTGATATGTCTAACTTGATGCGAGATTGAAACATATTTTAGTTGGTGTGAACAGACATAGCAGAACATTTACAGTATACTATCAAAGTAGAGTAAGCAAGTAGTGTGTGTATTTTGGTCAGGGTTAAATTTACATAAAAGTGAAAAATGTATCATTAAAGGTTCATTAAAATAAATTACCTATATGAAGTATTTGGACAAATAATGGTATTAAAATAAGAAAAAGATGTATACACCAAATATTTACTACTTAGTTAGAAAAAACAGAATAAACTCAAACCATACACCAAATTTATGTACGTGACGGAGACAATATTTTGTCAGAAGATTTTAAAAACACACTATTCTTTCTATATATTTTTATCTCAATCCTCTAAGAACTATCATCTCCATTGCTTTATTCTTTTTCTGCTAAGAAAATATTTCTATTTCAAAAGAATTTTATTTATTGCAAAATATTTCTTTAATATTTTAGTTTTTTTAATATAAAAATTCTATTTTATCAAATAATCTAATAATGAAGTAAATAGTTCTCACTCTCTCTTTTGTTACACTTCCTCCTATACTTCTATCATTGACTTCTTTTTCCTACTTTTTCCAGATATTGATTCTTCGGCTCTTAAAACCCCTCTACTACATGCAACAATATCAAAGAAATAAAACAAATCCAAATTAGGTATATTTTCATTTGTTGTAATATATTTTATTTATAGATATGATGGTTTTGAAAAAAAAATTATTATCTTTTGATTTGTTCTATTTTTTATTGTTATTCTTGTTATACTCTTTCTTGTACATATGGTGGATATTATCTTTTTCTACCATACTTATTCATATCTTTTCATACCCATTTTTAAAAATAACATCTGCCATAAATTTTTGTATAAAAAAATATAAATAATATTTTTTACATAACATAATCAAATTACAATCCAATAGAAGTTAGAAATAGTAATACATATTATTATTAAGTTAGTCTTGATTTTTTTATTATTGTTTGTTGGAGAAAAAATATCATAAATTAATGATCTTACCGGATCAGACTTGGACCGTCATGGCTGACTCGAACTGAATTTGAGTGAGATGAGGGGGTACCTGCAAGACACTCTGATGCTAAAATGAGAGACGAAATGAGCAAGCAAAAAATGTATAGGTGCGTAATAGATGAATATCTGACCCTCTGGGAACAGAGGATATTTATAGACCCCAGCGTTGGGCCAAGGTCCTCCTATTGGGCTGAGCAGAACTGGCCCAATAAAGGAACTGTCAGGTTTTACGTGTGTAGTGGGGCCCCGCACGTGGTCCCCTTTCTGGTGATGCTCCGCGAAGAATAAGGAGGGACGAAGACGCGGTCTTTCCAGAGCTTAGAGGATTTGATAACGGTCGGAGTGGACAGAATCTGCCCTACGGGGAGGGTGCTCGAGCTGGAGTTTCCTTGGTCGGGGATACTGCGTGCCGCGGGCAATGGCGGGCATAGTGGCCATGGTCTGTGGTCGGGCATGTCGGTGGTGGTCCGTTTGTGAGCATTCCCCGAAGAGTTTGTTTGGACTGGGCCTTTATCTACGTTTTGGACCAAGGCGGACCCAGTCCAGAACAGTTAAGAATCAGAAGAGAAAAAAAAACTATCATGTTTAATGATGAAGAAATTCTATTGACTTAGATTGATTTTTTTTTTGTAAAAAAAAAAATTATTTAAAGAATGCATAGTTGAAAAAGAGAATGAGCAAAAGGTAGGAATAAATTAGAAGAAAAATTAATAAGGAAAAAAATATTTAGTTACACTCATTTTTCAGTTGTTCTTATTTTTTTAGAGAGAAGAATTTTTCAGTTTTTTGCAAATAATAAAATGCATTTGTTAAAGAATGTATAATTGAAGATGAGAATGAGTAAAAGGTAGGAAAAAATTAAAAGAAGAAAATGCAAGAGAAAAGTGAATGAAATTGCAAATTTGAAACGAGAGAAATGTCATGAAATTTGAATATATGATAGTAAATTTGAAATGGGGGAGAAATATTGAAAAGGCATGAAATGATTTATGAAAAAGAAGAAATGGATAGATTGGTTGAAGAAAAATTAGAGAAAGAATAACATTATAAAGACAAAGTAGTGTTAGAAGCTATAATTTATGTTCTGTCGAAATATCAGAATAGCTTGTTTTATAGGTTATAAGTTATATTTGGCAGAGTCAAATATAACAACTATTGTAGAATGTTGAAACATAGAAGTTTTAGACTATAGCTTGTATATTGTCGTATTGGGTCTGAGCATTATATGTCTATATAAAAGACTGATTAGTTTGTAATTTTTACACACATCCAATGCAATTAGAATCCAGTTAGAATCATAACAAACTTTCAATCTCTCTTTCTATCCATTCTTCTTCTTCTTCCTCTTCCATAAATCATCTTTCTTGAAAACCCTTTGTTCCAACAAATTGGTATAACAGAGATCGGTTGCTATTCAAAGAGAATCTAATGGCAAACAGAACAACAACACCAATGCAGTTTCCAGCAAATCTACCAGTTTTTAAAGGTGAAAACTATTAGCGGTGGGTTGCGCAGATGAATGTTATTTTCATATTTCAAGATGTTGAAATCTTGAATGATGGAGTATCAGAACTGGAAGCAAATACGACGGAAGCCCAGAAAACTGCGCACAACAATCAAAGGAAGAAAGACGGTAAAGTTTTATTCATGATTCATCAGTGTGTAGATTCTTATGTATTTAAGAAGATAATTAAAGAAGAAACAACAAAAGGAGTGTGGGATAAGTTAAAGAACTTGTATGGTGGATGTTGTACCCCAAAATTTTCCCTCCCATATTCTTCAAAGTTTTGACAAGCATCATCTCAATTTGCTCAAGGTCTTCTCAAGGGTTGCACAGTCCAATTGCCTCCTAAGGCAGTCAAAATTAGGGTTTTGGTTCTTGCAAGGAAGTTGAGGTTTTCAGTGGTCCAATCAAGTCCCATATGCTTATATACATTGTCAAGCATCTACATGCCAAGTTGCAAGTCTCACAGCATCAAATTGCACAGTCAAAAGCCCTAGTTTCTCCACAATCAACTATAGGGGTAAAATGGTCATTTGGCAGTCAAAAGTCAAAAATTTTGGTCATCATCTTATTTTGAGCACACAATCATCATTTGATCAAGTCTTGATCATGATTCCACAAGAATGGCTCAAAAATCATCAAGATGCAAAAGTTTCCATTTTTGGACAGCTGAAAAGTCAACTGTAACTTGACCAAGGCATAACTTTTTCATGGTTCATCAGAAAAATCCCATACAATGCTCATTTTGAAGGGGATGACATTTCCTACAATCCATCTTCACATTCCAAGTCCAAGAAATGCTCTCACAAAATGTTATCAATTTCTACATTATAGGTCAATTCCAAAAGTCAACAAAAAGGCACTTTAAGTCAAAGACAATAACTTGAGATTGGTAAATCCAAATGACATGGGACCAAAGGAATTGGTTAGAGGACTTCAATACCTTTCCAAAATGTCCTAGAACATGTTCATAGGATCAAAATTGAGCAAGATATGCATTGGAGAAGTTGGGAAATTTTTGGGAATTTGCAAAAGTCAACTTTGCCCAAAACACCTCATTTTTGCTAATGGGCCTCAAATTCTTTCTTGAAACATTGTCCAAGGCCTATGAACGACCCAATGAGCTTAAATTGATTTATTTTCTTATTTTTAATTAATTAATTGAATTTTTTATTAATATTAATTCATTTAATTGATTTTAAATGTAGGAAATTCAAAGATATGGTTTTCAAATCTTTTTGTGATGCAAAAGAGGTCAACACATGCTGAAGATTTCGTGTACACATCAAGGAGACAAAATCATCCAATTTTGGCAAGTTTTATCAATGAAAAAGGTTGAAAAAGATTTGATTGAAATCAAATATTGAAATCATAAAGCTATGGATTTTTGGACAAAGTTTTACCCTAATTCCATTCCACTACATATACTAAAGCTAACCCTAATGCTGTGAACGTGCAAGCTGCTGTCAAAAGCCATAAGCAAATTCCAAAAATTCAAGAAAAATTTGAAAACTGAATTCAACCTTCCAGGCCAATTCAAAGCCTTTTCTTGATTCAAACACGCTGCTAGCATACTCAGAAACAATTTGCAATCGAAACCAAGTGTTTAACCTCAAGGAAACGTCCAGAACAGTTTCACGGTTTGAATAATTTTACCATAATCGTAACTAACATTTTATGCATCATTATCATGTTATAATCATTGCTTTGCATTGCTCTAACCTTTCTGAAGCTTTTGGTATTGGTTAATTGCCTTATGATGCCCAGAATCGTAAAACGCCATTGTTGAATATTAGGTTTTCCAAGCTCTCAAATTGGGGGTTTGTGATACAGGAAAAATTAGCCTTCATGAGACCCATGGTTGAATTCGTGGCATTCAGACGAACACAAAGCAGTCATCGCGCCCTATTTATATAACGCATAGACCTATTCGCTATTTTCCCTTTTTGCAGGTTGTGGGGGTTAAACCCCCCCGCTATTTAACTTTGTTTTTA